CTCTATTTATAGGCAAAATTGTGAGAAACATCCAAATAGAATGAATTTTTATTCATAATAAACAAATGTAACTTATATCTTTAAATACTCATAAAATATTTTATGATCAACTTATTCAACTCTCCAAACATATTATATACTTAGAAATTTCCTTTGGATAATTTGGACAACCATCCAAATAGAGTGAATTTTGGATCATAATAAACAATACAAACTTGAAAAAAATAAATATAAATAATAAATAGTATTCTTAACATGTAAACTTCTCCAACTCATAGTCAATGCTTAGAAAAGCCCCTCTTATGATCCTAATATGATCTTAATGAGTAAATTCGAGATTTAGTGAAAATTCTCCAATTTACAGAACCAATTTCTGACTTAAAACGAACAGTTACCGTAAAATCGAAAATTCTTACAGTTTTCGAATTTCCTTCTTTTCTTTTGGTATTTTTCATTTTTATGCTGAAAAATTTTTCTTATCTTGTATTCTACTAAATTTATAGAGAGAAAATAATTTAATGTATTTCTCGGAAAAATAACTGAAATAACATAATAACTGAGAGGGATATTACAATGGTAGAACTGTTATTCAAGTTAAGCCTAGCATTTCGTGTGTTCGAGCTCGTGCCTTTTTAACAAACCCCTAATCTTATACATGATGCTCGTGAACATAGTTTGTACTGTTTATTCAAAACCTATAATAAATACTCCCTCTTATTTTTATTATTTGTCATTCTAATTGAATTGATCATTTGTTAAATAAAAGTCGTTTTGGCTATTTTGTACATATATTTCCATTATTACCCTCATCTAACTAATAAATACACTACGTCTTTTCATATTCACTCTCCAACTTTTCTCAAACATCAATCTCTATTCTCATTAATGAGGATTATTATTGACAAACAAAATATTCTTAATTATTATGCAACTTTTCAAAACGACATTTATTAAAATTAGGAGAGAATACTAAAAAAATGAGCTATATGCGAACAAGCTTGATTAATTATTTGAGCTTGACTTATTAAAATAAATGAACTTAACCGAGCTCAAACTTCCACTAGCCGAACCGAAATATGCTCAAACATGCTCGGATCGACTATTTATTCAAAACTTATAATAAATATAAATAATAAAAAAAATGAGCTAGTTGGGAACAACCTTGATAAATAATTAAAGTTCGACTTATTAACATAAATGCACTTCCACGAGCTCATACTTTCACGAGTCAAGCCAAAATATGTTTGCATACTAGCTTAATTCTAATAACAGTTATGTAGTATAATTTTTTGATTGAAAGTAAGCAAGAAATGCACATTTCCAAATTCCATGCCATGTCCACCCTTGACTTGGGTCAGCCCAAGTTTTTATTATATGTATATTTTTTTTTAATTCTATTTTCTTAACGTTTTANAATTCCATGCCATGTCCACCCTTGACTTGGGTCAGCCCAAGTTTTTATTATATGTATATTTTTTTTTAATTCTATTTTCTTAACGTTTTATTTTATTTTTACATCTCTTTAAATTTTTTCCACCTCTGCACTTTATTCTCTTCAAAATTCGATACTTTGCTCTCTGTGCTCAAAACGAGGTTTTTTGAGAAGGGAAACACACACAAACACACACTCAAGGCCCTCAACTCCATACCCACCCCCATAAAGAACCAAGGCCCATCTTTCTCTCTCTACACATTCTCTCTTTCTTATTCATCTTTATTGTTGCTCTGTATTGTCCTCTTTTCCTACATTCAGAATCTGATTTTATCTCATACTGTTACTTGATTTTATTTTATTTCTGTCTGCCGCAGACTGTAATTGTAAAACAACAGAAACACAAGAAGCCTCTTTTTGTTCTGTTTTTCTTTACTTTTTTTTTTCCCTGACTATTTTTTTTCCCTTAGGATGGGTAAATAGAATTTTGATGAGGGAAATAGAAGAAAAGTTTTGATCTTTGTCTTGATTTGAGACAGTGGTTCATGTATGGAGTGGTGAAACAATGAGAGATGGCAACTCAAAGAAAAGCAAGGTTTGTTTTTTGTACTTCAAAGAAAGGGAAGAAAAAAGAAACAAATAATTGTGCTTTAATGGGCTTTAATAAGTTTTAATGGGTTTTAACTGCTCATCTGAATTATTGTGGTTTTCAAAGACATGCTGATTTTTCATGTTTTTTTTTGCTCAAGTTTTCATGGCCCAAAGCACTTGTCAAGAAATGGCTCAACATCAAGGGCAAAAGTGAGGATTATCATGCTGATGACATCATCTACCAATGTAATATTTAGCAGCAATTGCTGAAATCTAATTTTTGGGATTCTTTAGTAAAAAAGGGTTCTTTGAATTTTGGACAGTTTTACGATTGAAAGGGATGGTATTTGTGTGCTTACTTTGAATTTTCTGCTATGTTCAACCTTCTGAGATCTTCATTTTTTTCATGGTCTCTTTCACATTGCAAAAGATTAGATGTTTATTTCTTAGGCGCTAAGGAAAAATCAGAACTCATCTTTTTATGTGTTTTATGGTAATGTGGGTCATGTGCTACAACAGTTTAACAACCACAGCTGAAAGAAAGAAAGAAAAAAAAAATGTCTTTTAAGTGTTTTGGTTTTTTAGATGTTGATGAAGAATGGAGCAATTTTTCAGAGAAGGAAGTTATCACTATCAAGAAAAGCAAAACAGGTCCTTGTTCAAACAACTTGGTCTCCTTTTGGACCACAAGTATTAACTACTTGCCAATTGCCATTAATCTCAACACAAAATAAAAGCAAATTTTCACGCTTCCTACTTTCTCCAATAATCAGTTTTATGTTTCGAAAATTACAGAGAAACCATGTAGACGAATTTTGGATCGTGCCCGACGAAGTAAGATCGATTTCGAAGCCTCCCGGATTACGGATGTGCAAAACTATAGGTATATATGATCCTTTTTAGCCTTTGATGATAAGTTCATAGATCAACCTTTTCTTTTTTCCCTTTTTTCTTTTAAATAATCGAGTATTTTCTTTTTCTTCCTTAATTCAAGTAGAATCTTTGTAGCAACATGGAATGTGGCCGGAAAATCGCCCCCTAATTATCTAAATCTCGAAGAATGGCTCCACACTTCGCCTCCAGCCGACATCTATGTCCTCGGGTGAGCTCCCAAAAAGTGTCGAACTTTCTCCCATTTTCGACTTTTTTCCTTTTTTCTCATTGATTATTGACAAAAGTTTCAATCTTTATCACATTTCAAGGTTTCAAGAAATTGTCCCTCTTAATGCCGGTAATGTCCTCGGCACAGAAGACAATGGCCCGGCTCGAAAATGGCTATCCCTTATCCGTAAAACTCTAAACAGCTTGCCCGGTAATAGTGAAAATTACCGTACACCGTCCCCAGCCCCTAACCCAATTGTTGAGCTCGATGACGATTTCGAAAACTCGAGCAGAGAAAATCCTCTGTCGTCCTTTTTCCATCGTCGATCTTTCCAGTCTTTGAGCCGCAGCATGAGGATGATGATGACGATGGAAAATGACGTTTCTACCCCTCAGCCGAGGCTCGACCGCCGGTTTAGTGTCTGTGATCGAGTTATATATGACCATAGACCGAGTGATTGCTATTATGGGTCATCTGATGACGAAATTGGGCCGGGAGACTACTCGCCATATGCTCAGCATTATTATAACTCTCCCGTCACGTATAATAATAATAATAACAATAATAATAATAATAATGTGTTCGTGGAGGATGGAGATAATAGAAATTTGAGATACTGCTTAGTTGCTAGCAAGCAAATGGTGGGAATTTTTCTTACTGTGTGGATAAAGAGCGATTTGAGAGATGCCGTGGGGAATTTGAAGGTGTCGTGTGTCGGAAGAGGTTTGATGGGCTATCTTGGAAATAAGNCAAACTAGCTTCTGCTTCATTTGTACACATTTAACATCGGGTGAGAAGGATGGAGACGAGTTGAGGAGAAACTCGGACGTGATGCAGATTTTGCGAAAAACGAGGTTTCCACGTGTTCTTCACGACATGGGGGATGAGAATAGCCCACAAACGATACTCGAGCATGAGTGAGTTGTTCTGTCTTACAAGTTTGTGTCGATTTTAGTGGGTTTTTTAGTAGTATTTCTCTTCTGTTCCTTTTGTGGAGTATAATTTGAGAACTGTGTAAAAATTGAATCTTGAATATGTTATTATCTTTACAGTCGAATCATATGGCTCGGGGACTTAAATTACCGGATTGCCCTCTCTTACCGATGTGCAAAAGCTCTTGTCGAGATGCGCAACTGGCGAGCTTTGTTGGAAAATGACCAGGTTATAAAGCAAAATATAATCAGCTCCAAATCCTAATACCATAATAATATAGTTTTGCTATACCAAATACATAAATTCATTTTTTTTCTTTTTTTTTTTATATCTTTATATAACAGCTTTGTGTAGAACAGAGACATGGAAGGGTCTTTACCGGGTGGAATGAAGGGAGAATATATTTTCCTCCTACGTACAAATATTCGAATAATTCAGACAGATATGCCGGCGAAAACATGCACCCGAAAGAGAAAAGAAGAACTCCTGCATGGTATTCATATAAAATAATAAATAAATAAATAAATAAATCCAAATTAGCAAAATCGATGCATCTCTCTTATTTTGTGTCTTTGAATAAATTAAGGTGTGATCGTATATTATGGTACGGTGAAGGCCTTCATCAACTATCGTATGTTCGTGGAGAATCGAGATTTTCAGATCATAGGCCCGTTTATAGCATATTTTTGGCTGAAGTCGAGTCTTTTAGTCGTAATCGGATCAAGAAAAGCACGAGCTATTTGAGCTCGAGGATCGAGGTCGAGGAGTTGCTGCCTTATTATGCATACGAACATTCTCAACCGAATTATTTCTAAGAATTCACATTTTAATCACTCATCGGTTTTTGGATTACGTATTCGAAATTATGATGGCTCAGATGATTAAGGTGATTATTTAAAATTCCATTTGTTATTAAATAAACCGATGTATTACTATTATATCGCTTTCAACACAAACTCATGTGTTATGTGTTACAGCATTGGCTTTGACATTGCAGATGAAGTAGAGGCGAACAAGACAGTTGATTTTTCGGCATATTGATTGGCATTTTGGTAATTGAGATGTGTTCGTATTCTCTGTTTATTGTATTGTAGCTTGTTAAGTAGTTCCTCTTTGTAGATGGTTAATTTTATCTAATTTATTTCTGTTTAGGCCTAAGATATAGTTGCTAAGCTATTTCAAGTTTTCGACAAATTAGGCATCAAGAGAATGAGTTAATTAGAAGGTAAGAAAATTTTTGGCATTTCGTTTAAATCTACCGGTTACGAATTATTCGTAAAAATAGACTAAATTCATCGAGCTTTCATGCTTTACTGCAGATACGAATGCTCAAATCTTCAGGGACTTATGGGGAATTTGTTTTCATTATTTTTGTAACTAATAAATGGTGAATGGTCATTTCAAAGATTGAGAATTTTGTAACTGCATTATTAGGAGGTTGTGAACCTGCAAATGTAAATAATCTTGTGTATTTTTTGAATATTTTGCTGATTTTGAAGCAATATTTTTTCATGCGTGGTGAATATTATTATTTTGTATTGTCCCTTTTGTTCATTTCATCTGCAACTTCTTCTTTCTTTCTTGTGGGTTTACTAAAAATATTTCTTGTAACAGAATAAACAAGGCCATGTGGCAGTAATTTCATTTGTCACTATACATTTTTGCTTTTTCTTTTTCAGTGGCNCTTGTAAGCATACCATTATCAGGTAGAGTCTGCAAAAGGAGCAACAAAAATCCGAAAAGGGTTTGTCCAAATTGTGCTTTTACCCAAATCCTCTTTTGTTCATCATTATTGTTGTTCATCAACACTTAACTCAAATAATACGTTATAATTACATTTTTTGATGCATTAAAAGGTTAAAGAGTTGTTTCTCAATAGATTATCTTTTTCCACAATGCATAGAAAAATAAAAAAAAATCGAGCCGAATCATTTAATTTGGTGTAGTGTGCATGGTGCAATTGGATTTGAAAATTTTGTGGTGATTGGAAGTAGAATTTTCTCATTTGGATTTGGTTTAATGAATAAAGTTAGTTGAGTGTATGAAGAGAGTTTAAAGTTAGATTAGATGAATAGTGAGTTTTGAGTTAAAATTTGTATCCAATCGGAATTTTATTTAAAAAAAAATTAAAAAAATATTTCCGACGAGTCAAAACCAAAAAAAATAAAAATCTTATTCAATCGCGATATGATTTCAATTTTTTCGGTTTTGGCAATTCGGTGTGATTTTGTACCGAACCATGTTATTCATCCCTATGCATAGGACATCAAATATTACTAGTCTAGTCTGAAAATTACAGTTTGGATTTTTTATTTATTTTTTCTCAAATTTACCCAAGTAAAAAAAACTAATATTACATGGAGGGCATGTGGCGGCGTTGGGCGGTGGTTGTTGCCCGGGCCCGCCGTGACCCCGCCGCTTATTTACCGTGAGTGCAGACACCTATATTATTTCTACTACACTCCCAGTTGTGGCCAGAATATTTTCTTTTTATTTTTTTTTTCTTTTTAGTTTCACTGTTTCTTGCCTGAATTTCATATAAAAACTAATTTAACAAAACTATGGAACTGACATGTATCGCTGTTGCTTTATCTTAATGTAAACTTGGCTAAATATGAAGGATATATAAGAAATTGACTAACAATAACGAGATTTTAGTTGATGGATTACATATTATTAAATTATCTATCCGTCACTAGATACTAAAGAATAAGAAAAATCAAAATTTCACTAGCTAAATTCGAAAATTCTCAAAATATTCTCGTCTCTTACAACACTCCCTATATTTAAATCATATGTGTATATATATGAGACTTGATAGACTTTTGGGAGTTGGGAAACCTAATGTGATGTATATTAGACTTGATAGACAAAATTATTAATTATCTAGCTATTTTTATTTTTGTAACTCATGATATGTAGATTTTTTTACTTTTTTTTTTAATTTCTCTATTTCACCAGCTAATTGGTAATCGAATCCATTTTTTTATATTGGACAAATTGAAATATTGATTCGATTTCGACTAAATGTACACCCCAAGTAATTCATTGATATTAGAAATTCGTACAAAGTCCAATAATGTCAACAATTTTCCATGCAGCTACCTGGGAGACTGTCAATCACGAGACGGGCTTGTGACGTCAGGCCTGCCATTATTACGTCATTGTTGTGGATAAACTGTGGACTTATTATCTACTTTTGGCTGAGAAAATCAGGGATTTAATTTTGTCTGACGATTGGAAAACAGCAATCTACGTCGGCTTGCGCATTTCCGATGGATTTGACGTAGTTTTCTGAATTCATTATTTTCTCCACATTGTATTGCTGTGTGTGTGCACAATAGGTTGACTCTACATATTATCCGCAAATTGCGGACGAGAAATAAAGTTCAAATTTTGACATAATTATATATACACGGTACAATTGTTACTACTATTTTTCAAATTTCATCACTTTCATAATCAATAATGAACGTATGCCCATATTATTCGTACATGACATGATATATTATTTTCCAAATTACATCACTTTCAAAAGAACAAGATATATAATTTGATAAATCATAATCATTGAATGTGTTGCTAAATTTCATCCTACATGCTTACATGGAGTTTTAACAACAACACACACGATGACACGAATGTACTAGAAGTTATCTTAATTGTTATTTAATGGAGACAGATAAAAAAGGTAGAAAAACTTTGACAAAAAAAGCCATAAAAAAAATGTAAAAAGAGCGCATCAAGGCTATTTCAAGTGTATAAACAGTGCATTGATTATAGCAGATGGTCGAATTATGATGGGATTATTTATATAAGCATGCGATTAAAGATAGATCATGTCACGATGTGGAATGGTAAATAAAAGTCAGTAATAATAAGTTCGTGTTAAAATTAAACATTGCTTGATAAACTAACTCTGTCAGAATTCACCAGTGGCTCAGTGACAAGCAATGAAGGTACTCAATGTGCACGCTTTATGGATTGTACATTTGTACTCTCGCTTCTTGTACAAGTCAACATATCATAAATCGACAAAATAGTTCAAAGCATGAGTAGATAACTTGCGAAAATTAATTAATTTATTTATTTTCATTTTTCTTTCTTTCACTTTGTTATCTTTAAATGGACGCTGGGATTGGAGTGCAATAGCCCAAGTAGTGTAGGAGCCCAAAATTCTTTTATTTTTTCATATACATACTACACCCAAAATGGCTGATGGGCCTTCCATGACTAGGCCTCTGCCTAGGTTGATGGGCCACGGGTCATTATTTGAGCGTCACCTGTTACCGGTCCTAAAAACTTGCATTCAATGAATTGAAGAGGTGACAAGACCATAAAAAGAGAACTATGAAGTTTTCCATTTAATTGCAAATAGATGCACGCATTACACATTTCATTTGTCAAAAAAAAAACTATATATCGAAGAAAAATTATATATATAAATCCCAGTATCACAAGCGGTTTATTCAAACTCAAAACAGCNAATAGGTCCTTAAACAATGCAGATGAACGAGCCCAACCACTAAAATCGGCGGCCTTCACATCCACAAGTTAGTATTTTTAAGTAAATAAAAACAAAAAAGACCAATCTTAAGAAGCCCCAGGTAGCAAAAAAAGAACTCTTGAGACGAATTATGGCTTTTTCTCGGTCGATATATCCAATTCTATCTGAGAATCACGGCATTCGGTAGAGCAAAATGCGCAGAGGTCTCTGCACGAAATCGTACATAAATGAATATATGAGGATTCACACAAGATATTTGAATATTTTTATTGATTTGAGAATATGTTTAGTTGGATTTTGAATCGATATTTGAATATTTTTTTAGGACTATCGAAAGTCATGACAATTACAAGAGTAGACTTAAAAGTAGGTGCAAAGCTTAAGAATAAAATAGCTATTTATTGCAAAAGGAAGTGGGGGAAAAGGACGAATCATTCGTGAATTAAACTTCCAAGCTAGAAAGCATCGAAAAGTGATGAAATTCAAATGCATGCCAACCTAATTTGTTATTATTACAATTATTATTACTTTATTGATGAAGAAAACTATCAATTGGAACATTACACGAAGGTTCAATATTAGCTAAATTCTGTTGGGGAAAGTGAATAGTAACACAGCAAATAGAACAAATTGTTTTTAATATGAACAGATCAGTCATCAGATATAACAAATCAAAAACAGGAATTCGAATGAATAAGGGAAAAAATCAGATCAAATGAAGTAACGTTTAGAACGTGTGTCATAAAACACAGATCGATCGAAAAGGATGCCCAGCATAAAAAACAAATACCTAAAAAGTAAGCAGCAAATTTTTAATCTCAGTTGCTTTCTAGCAAATATTTGCAGAACATACATATGGCGGCAGCAAAATTCGCAGAACAAATCGTTCACAGACAACAATTAACCACAACAATTGAATAAATAATAACAACATTGCTTACCTGTACATGTAAACTTCAGAATTCTGAGGAATCCGTTTCTTGCAGTAGTGGCACCGTTCGAGAAATCCACCAATCCTCGCGTTCTCAGGCTCCCCCGGTCTCACCAGAGACGCGCCGGTCCTGAAGCTCGGAGGCGGCGGCGGCGGACGAGAAGGAGGAGAGGCGCCGTCAATTTTCATAGCCTTCACCGAGGCGCCGCCTCCTGCGGCGGCGACTGGGACCGTCGCGTCGACGCAACTCGACGGATTCCCGGCTCTGCTCCTCTTCACCGGCATTATCGAAACTGGATCGGAGATCGACCGGAGGGCGCGAGCTAGGGTTTTGGAATTTGGAGAAAAAAAAACACACTGTCTGCGTGATACTGAACAGAAAATCACGGAATGAGAATAAAATTGGAAGTGTTGAAAATACTCAAATAGTGAGGACGAAAAGGCGCTAGTTTGGCTCTGTTTATGTATAGGGCCACCGTGGGGCCCACAGTTTGGCGTTTCCAACTAACATTAAAAAGTTAAAAAAACGCGTTTTTTTATTCATTAGGAAGTCTATATAACATACCCAAAGATTTATATCATATTTGTTTTATTTAGCGGATCTAATTATTGTTTGGTTGAATGGTATTCCATTTAAAAAAACTAATACAGAGCCCGTGCGATGTACGGGGTGCACAATTTTAAAGCTATTTATCCAGACTTATAATTATATACATGAATACAGAAAAATGTACGGGATATATATAGTCGTGACCCGCGAGGCACGAGATATATTTATTTGAGGAATACTATATTATAAGATGCAATATTCAATAAAAGTTTTATAATACGCAGGAAAATTATACAATAAGATAGTATTCGACAAACAAACAATCATATATTATTAAAGACCACCTTGTACACAACATTATGAGTTTGATTTTCCATACAATAATAATAAGATTTTTTGTAAAAAGATAAGAAGGAATTTTCAATCTACACAAACTTTAAACATTAGATGTATTTACGTAAATCAATGACTATATAGACAATTAAACCCTTCAATTTAGGCTTGACATCTACTTTATTTATGGATGACGTAAAATAAAGATTTAATTTTGACCGATTAAATCTTTATTCATAGGTTTGACATATAAACTGATTTGATGAGATTTTCTTAACTAAACCGATGCTATGGGATAAAACAAATGTATACTTACCTTTGACTTTTTCAGTAAAGG